GACGGGGATGGTAAGCATGACGACCATCTCGCTTATGATGGACTTCCTGTGTTTGATACGGAGCCGTTGGAGAATGTTGAGGTTCATAGTAGTGATGTCGACACGTGCCTTGTGCTGCGGCGTTCTTGTTTGTCTCCCCATAGCGATTCAGACTCTTCCAGCCAGCGACATCAATTATTTGAGTCCACATGTACTATTGGTAATCGTGTGTGTCGATTTATCATGGACTCCGGGTCTTGTGAGAATGTTTTGGCAGATGAGGCAGTGTCCAAACTTCGGTTGACCACAGAGCTGCATCCCCGTCCCTACACTTTAGCTTGGATCAACCGTGGCAGTGGAGTGACTGTTAACCGCCGGGTCTTGGTCTCTTTCTCTATTGGGGCATCTTATCGTGATCAGATTTGGCGCGACGTAGTCCCGATGGATGCCTGCCACTTGATGTTGGGGCACCCCTGGCTCTTTGACCGATCGGTTCTTTATGATGGTCGTCTTAACACCTATACATTCACCTTTGACGGTGTTAAGATGATTTTGCAGTCGGCTCCACCTCGCCCTTTGCCTCAGACGGCGGCTTCTCCGGTCTTGTTCCTCTCGCGGTCGGCTTTTGCGGCGGAGATGCGTGTCCTTTTACTTTTACCTACCGGGGTCCCTGAGAGTCAGTCGATACCGCCAGCCATTCAGTCTTTGTTAGATGAGTTCGCTGATGTCTTTCCTTCTGAGTTACCTCCCGGGTTGCCCCCTTTACGTGATATTCAACACTACATTGACTTGGTGCCCAGGGCGGTCCTTCCTAATCGCCCACATTACCGTATGAGCCCTGCGGAGCATGAGGAGTTACGTAGGCAGGTCGAGAAGCTTTTGCAGAAGGGGGTAGTCCGCCGTAGCCTCAGTCCGTGTGCTGTTCCGGCCCTATTGATCCCGAAGAAGGACAGTTCTTGGCGTATGTGTGTCGACAGTCGGGCCATCAATAAGATTACGGTCCGCTATCGTTTCTCTATTCCTCGATTGGACGATCTTTTGGACCAATTGTACGGGAATTTTTACCAAGCTTGATCTCCGGAGTGGCTATCATCAGATACGTATTCGCCCGAGTGATGAATGGAAGACAGCTTTCAAGATTCGAGAGGGCCTTTTTGAGTGGTTGGTTATGCCATTTGGTTTGTCTAATGCTCCGAGCACTTTTATGCGCGTAATGAACCAGGCTTTGCGGGATCTTATAGGTAAGTCTGTGGTCGTTTATTTCGACGACATACTTATCTACAGCCATTCGTTGGAGGCACACTTGGGCCACGTGCGAGAGGTACTTCTTATTCTTCGTGCTGAGTCTTTTTTATGATGCACCGCTCAAATGTGTATTCTTGGACGATTCGGTTCTTTTTCTGGGCTTTGTTATTTCAGCGGATGGTATTCATGTGGATGCCGGGATGGTTGCCGCCATCCAGGACTGGCCAACACCTACGACGGTTACCGAGGCCCGTAGCTTTCATGGCCTCGCCTCCTTCTACCGTCGCTTCATCTCTCATTTTAGCTCCATCGTGGCCCCGATCAGACTGTATTGCCGGGAAGTCATTCTCTTGGACGCCACAGGCGGCTGCGGCCTTTGCACTGATCAAGGAGCATCTTACTTCGGCACATGTCTTGGTTTTGCCTGACTTTTGTCGTCCTTTTGAGCTTTCCTGTGATGCTTCTAAGGTCGGCATTAGGGCGGTTCTGAGTCAGGAGTCCCGCCCGGTCGCATTCTTTAGTGAGAAGCTTTCTGGCCCGCGGCTTCGGTATAGTACTTATGACGTGGAGTTTTATGCCGTGTATCGTGCCGTCCAGCATTGGCGACACTATCTTTTCCACCGTGAGTTTGTTTTGTTTTCCGACCATGAGGCTCTTCATCATATGGCTTCTCAGGACAACATCTCTTCTCGCCATGCCACGTGGACTTCTTTCTTACAGCAGTTCACGTTTGTCCTGCAGCATCGGTCGGGGGCTTCTAATCGCGTGGCGGATGCCCTTAGTCGGCGTGTCCTCGTGTTGTCGGATTTGCGGGTGCAGGTTGTTGGCTTTGACGTCCTTCGCGACTTATATGCTTCAGATCCTTTCTTTGGGCCCATTGTTGCTCGCCTTGCATCAGGCCCGTTTGAGGATTATGTGTTGCATGATGGCTTCCTTTTTTGTGGTCTACGCTTGTGTATCCCTGACAACAGTCTTCGTCTGAAGCTGGTGGGCGATTTGCATGGTGCCGGTCACCTCGGTCGGGACCATTCGGTGGAGTTGGTCCATCGGTCGTTTTTTTTGGCCTTCCTTGCGGAGGGACGTGTCTCGTTTTGTCGAATGCTGTCGTACTTGCCAGGTGTCCAAGGGCGGGTCGACTAATGCGGGCCTCTATCGGCCTTTACCGATTTCTTCTCAGCCTTGGAGTGCCGTCAGCATGGATTTTGTGGTGGGACTGCCCCGGACTCAACGCGGGTTCGATTCCATCTTTGTGGTTGTGGACCGCTTCTCAAAGATGGTCCACTTTATTCCGTGCCGGCGCACGACAGATGCACTTCACGTCGCCCAGCTGTTCTTTCGTGAGATTTATCGTCTGCATGGGCTCTCTTCGTCTATTGTCTCGGACCGCGATACACGTTTTCTGAGTTTCTTTTGGCGGAGCCTTTGGCGCATGACTAACACCCGCCTTGATTTCAGTAGTGCCTATCACCCTCAGACGGATGGGCAGACTGAAGTTGTCAATCGGTCCCTTGGTAATTTGCTTCATTGTTTAGTCGGGGACAACGTGAAAAGCTGGGACGACCGTCTACCTCAGGCGGAATTTGCTCATAATTTGGCGGTGTGCCGGGCCACAGGTTTCTCCCCTTTTCAGATCGTCTACTCCGTGCAGCCACGGGGCCCGTCCGATTTGCTGGCTTCGCCGGCCCCGGGTGACTGCCGCGCCGAGGACAGAATGATGGCTGACTTGCGACGGACGCATGAGGCGACCCGGGCCCGTCTGGAGCAGGTCACGTGCGAGTACAAGTGGCAGGCTGACCGCTATCGGCGCCATGTGGAGTCCGAGGAGGGCGATTTCGTGTGGGCTATTTTGACTAGGGATCATTTTCCAACTCACGAGTATAACAAGCTGTCGGCCCGGAAAATTGGGCCTCTGGAAATCTTGCAGAAAATTAACCCCAACGCCTACCGCTTGCGTCTTCCTTCCCACATTCGCACTTCGGTCGTTTTTAACGTCAAGCACCTTGTTCCTTATTATGGCGACAATTCGAACGACGAGATCCCTTCAGATTCGAGGGCGAATCCTCCCCAACCCGGGGAGAATGATGGCGGCGAGATCGCATTGGCGTACCTGGACAAGTTTGACCCTCTTCGTATCTAGCTATTTATTTATTTAGTATTTTATCTTTTTATTTATTCTCTTTATTTATTTCCTATGTTTAGGATATTTATTACTTTAAATAAATTAGGGTGAGGAGCCTATTTAAAGGAGCAGAGTACTCATTGTTATTCAGTTTTTGACGATTGAAATAAAAAATTTCTCTGGAGTTCTTCTGAGAATTCATGTTTTTCCCATTGTACGTTTTCTACTACGTCACATTCTTTAAGTCAAAGCATATTAATTCTTCATAATTTGAAACTTCATTAACCACAACACGCACGAGGACTAATCTAATCATGATTCCAGAACAACCGTTTGACATGGCTACATTCTGTTAATCACCATGGTAAAAATAGATGAGCTTGTATAAAATGAAGTTGTTAGCGGCATCTCATTAAAAAAAAAAAAAAAAAA